ATTTTGATGCAATAAAAAATTTCACCGTACACCACCTTTAAATTCTTAAGGCTTCTAGGATTACTGTACTTTCAATATTCTGCAAACACCCTGATCTATGCTAAAATTCGAACTATTTTCAGCGATTTGTTGTTTGTTGCTTCTGAATTTTTCGGAATATGCTGAACTTTTAAATTTCTGAAATTTTCAATTATTGAGTTTTTGAATTTCCGATATACCGTAAAACATGTAATAGAAGGGCCCCCATACTGTCACCTTTGAGCTAAATTATCTCGGTTCCTTTGAAAGATATCAATAGTTTGTCAACTGATAAAACGTTTGTGATATTATAATAAACAATTTACCAGTTGACAAGTTTTTTTATAATTTTGTCAGGGACCGAGATAAATGAGCTCAAAGTTAAATGTTAGGGGGCTCTTCTATTACAGGTGTTACAGTATTGAATTCTGGGAATATATTTTCTAGAAAAGTTTCAGGGAAACTTTCACAACTATGTATGTTCGGTGAATGGAACCTCTCCGGATCCCAGGTACAAGAGATTTATAAATTTTTCAAAAAAATTGAGAAATTGCGGAATTCAAGTCACAATGGCTCAAATGTTCATGTTTCAGAAAGTAAGCATTTTTCTGTTTATTAAAAACTTCGAATTTTAACTGGAACCCATTTTTCCAGGACGAAAATTCATTTTTGGATTATAACAAAGAGAGGTCTCCATATTTCAAATTCAGTGAAATTTGCATTACTGACTGGGAGAAATTTTGGAAGAAATTGCTGGTTAAGGTTCATGGTAATTTTTTTCCGGGCTACTGTAGTTTCGAAATTCTGCAAGCACTACAACCTACGCCAAGGTTCAAACTTTATGGTTTCCGAAAATTCATTTTTTTCGAATTTCTGAATTTCTGAATTTGTCAATTTTAATCAGAGAAAGAATTCATTCCAAGCTTCTGGATTACTGTAGTTTCCAATTCTGCGATCACCACAATCTTCAAATTATTTTTCAGCAATTCTCATGCTCATTGGCTGGTTATTCTTCATCCCATCTGGCTTTTTATTCGCACGATTTGGCAAGAAAAGTTTTGAAAATCTAAAAATTTTGAATCTCCCAATTTGGTTCCAAGTTCACAGGACTTTCACCTTTTTGGGCGTTTCTTGTATTTCAATTTCAATTTTTTGTATTTTCTTGGCGAAAAATTTCACTTGGAGGGGTACTGGATCAGATGCTTGGTACTGGTCCCAATGGCATACGGATTTAGGAACTATTTCGACGGTTTTGGCAGTTTCCCAGCCGCTTAATACAGGGTGGCTGAAAAGTATTGAGACACTTGTTTTTTGTTGTATTTTCAAAAATGGAGTTTCAACAAAAGAACCAGATTTATTTTTTCAACAAATGATAGTAATAGAAAAGATATCAGAGGAGATATTCGAAGTTTGAGCCTTCGGCCTTGATGCACGCCTTCAAACGAGCTGGAACAGAAGCGACGGTGCGCCGGAGGTAGTCATCGTCAAGATCATCCCATGCTTTGAGCAAAGCGGCCTTCAGTGAATCCACATTTGGGTGCGATCGAGCCATCACCTTTTCCTCCAAATATCCCCAAACGGAAAAGTCGAGTGGATTCAGATCGGGCGAGGAAGCGGGCCACATGTCCTTGCCCCAGTAGCCAGGGAAATGAGCGTCGAGAACAGCTTTCGTGGATTTCGAGCCATGGGACGGGGCCCAATCTTGTTGAAGAATGAAGGGTTGCTGGCCAAAGTGGCTAGTGACCCACGGACGTAAAACATCCATCAACACCAACTTTTGGTACACATCCGAGTTGATTTTCACATTTCTATCAATGAAAACCAATGGGACTTTACCTTCCGACGTCAATCCAGCCCACACCATCACTGACTTTGGAAAAAGTCTCTTGTAGGCCAGACGACGTTTTGGGGACTTTGCTTCGTCCTTTGACAACAATTGCCGAGCATTCTGTCGGTTCGGAAGCGGCTCAACCGTAAAAATTTTCTCATCAGTCCAAATGATTTCAGAGAGGCGGCGCACCTTGAGTGCGTCGAGCAACTTTTTCGCTTTTTCGAGCCGATTCTTCTTGGACTGTTCTGTGAGGTATTGGCCACGAAGGAGCCGATAACTGTTCAGACCCAAGTCCTTTTTCACAATGGATTGAACCGATTGTCTTGAGATTCCGAGCGATGAAGCCATTTGGTTCATGCTGACCGCATCATTTCGTGTGATTCTCTTCTTGATGATGCCACGAGTCCGGCGAGTGTTGACAGTACGAGGTCTTCCGCTTTTCTTAAGCTCCAACACATGTCCTCGATCTTTCAATTGTTGCACAACTCGATAGACAGTTGCTCTCGGAAGAAGAAGTCTTCGAGCGATGTCACCGGTGGAGATGCCGTCGTTGAACAGCATAGCAATGGTTTGGCGATGAGGAGAAGCTCGCATAACTTCGTGAAGAGATAAAGTGATGGGAAATGGCTCTAATGTCGGCTTATATACGCTCCCTATTTTCGAAATAATACGAAACTTTTCGAAAATATGACTTGGCACGGTGCCAAGAGCCATCATAACAAGTGTCTCAATACTTTTCAGCCACCCTGTAGTCTATTGAGGTCAGTAAGTGTGCTCTATGGACAGTTGGGAGATTTGGCGGGAAATGTGAATTCGTTTGAGATGTTTTGAGTGAAAATTGGTTGAAAATTGAAGTTATATGATATTTTTAGAAACTTTCAAACTTCCGGATTTCCAAGAAACCAAAAATGCCGAAACTAGAAGTATCTGAATAATTAGAATTTTCAAAAACCTAAAATCTTCGAAATCCAAATCCAAGTCCGTCTGTAAATCTGCATTTCCAGATGTCCACCATCGAACTCGCGCCGTCCAACTTTCAACTGGTCACATCGAATCATCGGTCTTCTCTCCTACACTTTTGCAGGTTTTCAGCCGAATCAATTTTTTGAAAAAATTCAAATTCATTACAGTATCCGCCATTTACATCGCCGCGTTGAAGTATCGTAAAACTTGGTCGGAGCCAACTTTGGAAGTCATTTTGGCTAGTTTTCCAACATTCTTGGGTTTTTCAACTTGGATTTTATTTGGCGTTTTGCAGAAAAGCGGAGAATATCATGCTGTGGAAATGGTAAGACATCTGGACAAACAGATGAATAGATAGACAAAAAAAAATTGAGATTTTATATTTGACAGTGTTATACAATTTGATAAAAAGATAGAAAAACTGTCTCTTGAAAAACAATTTTAAGTATCTCACTAGAACGTCCATGGTGATATGGTTTGATAACCTACCTGATAAGGATAAATGCAACAAAGTGTTAAGGAAATCCTTATCATTATTTTTGTATCTAGGTTGATCAACATAGAAAGATCAAAAGATCTGAGTACTCACGATCATACACCTAGAATGGTAAAATGATCCTAAAACTGTTAGAATCTAGGGTTTCTGAAAAAAGTTGAAGAATCTGAAATTGAGATTTCTTGAAATTCCTGAAATCGCTGACTTCTGGGATTTCTGAAATTGCCCAATCTCAGAATTTCCAAAAATTTTTGAAACTTTTAAAATCCAAAAATCCAAATGTATGGAACATTTTAAACATTCCTGACCGGTTGATATTCATATTGAAAACTTCATAAATCTTTCGAAAATTTAAGAAATTCGAAAAACCGAAAAAACCAAATCTATTCAAAAATGCAAATTCCCTCAAACTGAAAAAAATTCTGAAATCCTAAAAATTTACTAACTTTTTGAAAATTAAAAATATCCAAAGTCTGAAAAATCTCAGAATCTTGAGATTCTTGAAATCAAAAAATCACTAAATAATCGAAAATAATCGAACATTTTGAACATCTAAATGGCTCGAAATCTCAGAATATTCTATTTTTAGAATAGTCGAAAAATTCTCAAAACAAAAAAAAATTAAAAAATTTCAAATTCCAGACCGATCTTCCACCATCATCCTCATCAACGAACCAACCGAATTCTCAAAATCTCTACAAAACTTCCTGGCTATTCACTTGCATTGGTATCCTTCTAGGTGCCGCCACGTCACTATCGATCCTGGTGGCGTCGAAGGAATAATGACTAATAAATTCCTTCTTCCTATCTCTTCTTATCACCATGTTTGACCTACTATAGGCAGATAAGAGACAAAAAATCCGATAAAAGTATATAAAGGTGATGACCACCCGATTGTTATGATAGGATATCTTATCACAACATTGACCTGGATTGACGGCCGTGATCAAAGTGGGCGGAGTCGGGGGGTGATCCTTTATAAAGGCAGCAACCATTCTTCTCACATGGATCATAGTCTCCTGATGGATCGCTTTCCCGAATTTTCTACTTTTTTCTCACAAAAATCCTTCTAAAACTTCCGCCTCTTCCAGATGAACCGCCTCGCCATCGCCCTTGTCCTCCCACTCCTTGCCATGGCTGCCACGCCAAACGAGAAGCTGAAGCAGTGTTGTGCTACTCTTAAGGAAGCCGATAAGGAGTGTGTCGAGAGATTCTGCGACTTCAACGCCATCTCTCAAGCTAACGTGAGTGATCTGAGAAAGGGCAAAAAGAGTTTCGCCTGGTGGGGAATCGAACTTGGGACCCCCGCCTGGTAGGCAAAAGCGGAAGCCACTCGGTCACGCATGCTAACAACAGCTTGGAGGGTTAAGACGTACAGAAAGGGGAGAGAGGTGGGCGTGGCGCCTGATCTTCCTCGACGAAAATTTTTGACCATATAAAAAATTGAAAATTTCAAAATTTCAAAAAAAATCGATTTTTCCAGATCCTCAACTTCATGTCGACCTGCGGAGAGCGTGGACCAACTGTCGGACAAATGTGGGATTGCGCTTCCCTCCGTCACAACCACGAGCAATGCTGTATCGATAAGGGAGTCACTGGAGACTGTTTGAAGTACTGTACCGCACACAAGGGAGCCCCATCCGACTACCTCAACTACGCCTTCTGCACAGAGAACTTCAACGAGATCCGCGACTGCTTCCACGAGCATTTGGACAAGAACGAGCCATTCAAGAAGCTCTAAATCTATGATTTTCTGGGTCCTAATATGATATTAATAATTGTGAAAAACGTGTATTTATTCTCCTCTTTATGAAATGAATCTTCTCAAGTCCTAGTTCAATCGATCCTAAAATCTAGGTCATTCCATTCAACGTTTTCTATGACGTCACACCTGCTGCCGCCTCTCAGCCGACCACCCCGATTGTGTATGCAATTCACACCTTGGTGGTCGTGCGGGGGTATAGCTCAGTGGTAGAGCGCTCCCTTAGCATGGGAGAGGGCTGGGGTTCAATTCCCCATACCTCCAGAATCTTTTTGCTTTTTTTTACACTCACTTCTTCAGGTCCTACACTACATCAGACTCTCTGAAACAACTTGCACCTCCAGAACTATTTTTGCTTCTTTTTTGCCGGTTTTAGAAGCTTTTTTCGGGTTTTAAAGTGTCTTTAGCTGTTAGGAAGTAGTTCAAAGTCTTAAATTTCAAATTAATTTATTCTTTTGCCCGCATCAATCGAACAAAATGAGCAGGATTAGACAAAAAAAGAGACATACAAAGAATTTTGGGGGTGTAAATTATCACAGAAAATTCGGGGAAAAAAAGAGTTAAACTTTTTTTAAAGGTACCAGTACAAGAGGAAAATCAATTTTTTCTCAGTGAGTGAAAAAAGCGTGTCAAGGAGAGGTTAAGGCAAAGTGAGAGGGGAAAAAGGAAATACTGAAAAAATGGAGGGGGCGGGGCTTGTTGGAAAAAAGTGGGCGGGGCAATTGAAGTAGCATCATCGGGGTATTTTTCTAGAACATAAAAGGGGGAAATGAAAGAATTTGGATGGGGGAAATTAAAAGGCGATTATCGAGTACCCGGGATTTGTTGAGAAATGAAGAAAAATGCACATCATCGGATTTTTGGGGGGTTTTTGGGGGGAAAATGGAAAAATGACAAAAATTTACACATACAGTCCTGAATAGGTCAATCGGGAGAGTCTCTTTGGGTGAGGAAAAAGGAGGATTTTTGAAATTTTGAAAAATTTTCATTTTCAACCGAGTTAGAACGATTTGAGACCAGTGGCCTAGAAAATTGGATTTCTAGGCCACTGGTTATAAATTGATGTAACTTGGCTTAAAATTCAAATTTTCGAAACCTGAAAACTGTTTCAGAATCGTCAGGATCTCTATTTTGAGATTTTCAAATTTCGAAAGAATCCAAAAATCAAAAATCTCCTAAATTTCCTCTCTACACAAAGAATCCTTCCTCGCGCGGTCGCGTCGTCCGTGTGCCACGTGTCGTCGCGTGCAGCGTTCCAGACGAGTTGCCAGGCGACCCAGACGACGTCACGATTCGTCCGTTGAGTCCGTCGCGGACGATTGAGCATTCGGGAGAAATTAGTCCACACGCGAGGAGATCCAAGTGCGAGGTATTGGCCAGGTCTGATACCGAGTGGATGTTGTTGGACACCAGTTTACCGTAGACGTGGTTTAGACCGATTTGTCTGAAAATAAAGTTTTTTAGCTATTTTGTTCCTGGTGGCCTAGTAACCCCAAAACTAGTGAAGTTAGGCCATCAGTTGAAAGCACTCGTTTCAAGCTTTGTGAAACAACTTTCTGAACTGAAATTGGTTAGGTTTAAGCTAAGTTACAGCACAACAAAAGTGGTGGCCTAGAAACCCAAATTTTGGTGGCCTAGAAAACTTAAAATTAGGTCAATTTATATATTAATCAGAAGCGCTTATTTTGGGATTTCTAAAAAAAAGTTTCAGATTTACAATCGGTTAGAATTGAGCCAAGTTATGGCGATTGGAGACTAGTGGCCTAGAAAACCAAATTCTGATGGCCTAGACAACCAAAAAACATATCAATTTCATATCAATCGAGAGAGCTGATTGCGGGAATTCTACAACAAGTTTTCTGATTTCGATCGGTTCAAATTCAGCCAAGTTCTAGCGATTTGAGACCAGTGGCCTAGAAATTTGGTTTCCTAGGCCACTGGTTACAAATCGCTATAACTTGGCTCAAAGTAGAGCAAATCTGGATTTGAAAAATGTTTCAGAAACCTTGAAATCTGGGCTTCCTAATTATAAAAATACTTACCTCAAAAAATCATCCAACGATGGCATCGGAGCGGCCGATGACGGAGGCGTTGGCATGGAAACCGAACCATACGATGGATTCATGGAATTCAACGCAGCCTGACTCATCACCCGTCTTGGCAGCTCTCCAGGATCCGTCTCAATCAGTGTTGGCTGTAGAATGTACTTATGGAATGCGGCCAAAAGCTGTGTAAATGTCGGCCTCTCATGTCTCTCCATCTTCCAACACCACTGAGCAATTCGATACAGACCCATTGGACAATCCATTGGCGGTGGTAATCGATAGCCAATCATCACCTCGCTTATCACTTTTTGATTCGTCCAATCCCAATACGGTCGTTCGCCGAATGAGCAAACTTCCCAAATGACGACTCCGAATGACCAGACGTCCGATGAAGGCGTGAATTTTCGATGAGTGATTGCTTCTGGAGCCGTCCATCTGACTGGAATCTTCCCGCCGTTCGTCGTGTATTCCGGTTCGATCGATGAGCCCTCGCTTCTGACGCCACGCGATAGTCCGAAATCGGCGATTTTACAGCGGAGTTCGTGGTCGAGCAGGACGTTGCGGGCGGCGAGGTCCTGGAAAAAATTCAGAATAAGATTTAGTATATTCAAAAAATGTCGAACTTAAGCCGAGTTACAGCGTTTTGCAGATGGTGGCCTAGAAATCCGAAAAATTAGGTTTCTAGGCCACCAACTTAAAATGGCTCTAAGTCAGTTCAGAGTTAAGCTTTAAGAATTCTGATACCTGATTCTGAAAGCTCTACTCTTATCAGTTAATGGCCTAGAAATCCAAAAATTCGAGTTTCTAGGTCATCAATCTCAAAACGTTGTAACTTTGCTTAAACTCAATGAATTTGAGTTCTGAAACTCGCTTCAAAAAACTATAATCTAGCTCTATCAGTTGGTAGAAATCCTGGAAATTTGTATTTCTAGGCCGCCATTTTGAAGAGCTAGGTCAGAGCGTTTTATCACAGGTTTCAGTTTGTGGCCTAGAAATCCAATTCTTGGTTTCCTAGCCCACGGAAATCCAACTCACCCTATGAACATATCCCATATCAGTCAGGTACTTCATCCCCGACGCAATTCCATACAACATCTCGGTGATCTTCTCCCAATGAACCTTATCCCCTCGTTGATCCGCATTCCGAAGATATTGATCCAGTGATCCATTGACCATGTATTCAGAGATAATCATAACGGGTTCAGAAGACGTCACGACGCCAATCAACCGAATCACATTCGGATGTGAGAACTGCCCCATAATTGTGGCTTCTGTCAAGAATTCTGCTTTGGCCTTCGCACTGGACCCTGACTTCAACGTCTTAATGGCCACTGTCTCGTATTGCTCAGATTCGAATCCACGTGCCATCGTACTTGCGACATTCCACTTCGCCGCCGCCGGCGAATTCCTCGAAAGACCACCCAGACAGACGTCGCCAAACTCTCCACCACCGATCACTTGAGTTATGAAGACGTCGTTTGGTGAGATGTCGAATGTGAACTCGATGAGTGCTTGGTAGGGATCCTCGTACGTCGTCGGGTCCACATAGGTCTTGTATTTTCCGGAGTTCGTGTGAACGCCACCGTAGTATGGTGGGGGTTGAGAGATTGGCGAGCCGAACGATGGGATCAGTGGAGCGTTTACTGAAAAAAAACACACATTTGGTGGTAAGGAGGCTAGGCGGGAATTTGAAATTTTGAGATTCTAAAAATCCTTAAAAAAATCTGGCTTTCAGGTCATGATGGCCTAGAAACCCCAAGACTCTGGCTTTTAGGCCATGTTGTCAGCTCTTCCTAGTGATGACCTAGAAATCCATTGAATTTCTAGGCCATGGAGCTTAAACTAGACCAGGTTGAGCCTATTTAAAACGACTTCAATTTGGTGGCCTAGAAATCCAAATTCAAAGTTTTCTAGGCCACTTTTTTCCACCTAACATAACTGGACTCTAAATGGTTCGTTTTGAGAACAGTTCATAGCCTAGAAATCCAGCTTCTTGAATTTCTAGGCCACCATCAGTAGAACTTAAATTCGACCATTTTTCGCACGATTTTAATGTGGCTTAGAAATCCAAATTTACCTTTTCTAGGCCATATTTGTTACAATTAGCTCAACTCGGCTCTAAACAAATCGTTTTGACTTTTCGAAAAAGTGATCATGACCTAGAAACCCCAATTAGGATTTCTAGGCCAACTGCATGGCCTAGAAATCCCAAAAATTGCATTTTCTAGGCCATCGAAAGCACACAACTAGAAGGGAGCCCGAAGAAAAGCAGTCATTCAAACGAAAAATCCAGGAAATTCAATAGAAAACTAGAAAACTCAAAAATTCAGAATTCGTTAGAAGATCCCCTTACACTTGGTGGTCGAGCGAAGCTGTTCGTGCAAATTGGCGGGAAGATTGCCTTGATGATGATGATGTCGTGACGTCGTATGGTAGTCGGGTGTCATCGAGTCTGAATATTCTAGGATGATGAGGAGAGAGGATTCAGAAGGCGTGGAGAAGACGTGGAGGGACAAAACCACAAAAAAAGCTCTAGAAGATGGGGGACCCGAAATTAGGAGGAATCAATACAAATCACCAATCACCACAAATTCACGTCTTCTAGATTCTGATGCTTCAGAATTTCGCTTCAGAAAAAAAAATGCTTCAGAATCAAATTTCCCGCCTACTCACCTTGTTTATAAGTATCCAAAACGTCCAAATCGCTCATCTGCTTCCTGTTTTTCGTCTTCTTCTGCACCACAATCATACACAACGCAATAGCGATCACCACCAGTATCAACGCGATAATGATGAGCAATGCTGACCCAGTTTGGTTCAAAAACTGTGTATCCTCTTCGCTAGTCGACGATGATGAGCTGAGCAATCCCTTTCCGAGTTGATAGCTAATCGGACTGCTCCACCGTAAATCATCCTTGACTCGCACTCGAAACTGGTATACTGTATCATGTCGAAGTCCGATGAATGTCGTGTATGTCTGATTGACGTGACGGGTCTCGAATGCTCGCTTCTTGACGATCGCTGGCCGAACCTCCACTTCAAAATCATGGATATCAGAATCCGAAACACTCCACGCGATAGTAATCCCATCTGATTGACTGGCATCGACTCTTAAATGGGTCACTGGTGGAACGTCTTCTTCCTCCGACCTCGTCCGAATATCAATGACCGCACTCTTCTCAGAAAACTCGGCCAACTCTCCAGACACTTTATTCTTGGCGAACACCAAAAATGTGTAGTCGGAGGACGGTCGGAGACCGTTGATCTGGATCGATCGTGTTGAGAGTCGCTTGTCGGACGGCGTCATCACAACGGATCCACACTCTCCACGTCCTGAGCAACGGACTTCGTACCAGATCTCCGGGCGACCTCCGAGGCTTGATGGTTCGTTCCATGAGAGACGGGTTGATGTGGCGGTGATGGCGTTGGCGACGAGCTTGATGGGACGGGATGGGGGTTCTGAAAAATTGAAGTTAGAGATTACAGAGCTGAATAAAAGGTTTAGAAACCCAAAATTTGAGATTTCTAGGTCACCAACTGAGAGAGCTAGGTAAGAGCTTTCAGAAGCGAAATTCGAAGTTCAAATAGGGCAGCTTTGAGCCAACTTATAGCCTTTTCAAATTGGTGGGAGATACAAATTTTGGAAATTCTAGGCCACTAATTTTAAATTGCTGTAAGTCGGATCAAAGTTAGGCTATTGGAATTTCGAAAAGTGCTCCAGAAAGCTCTAATCTAGCTCTATTAGGCAGTAACCTAAAATTTCAAAAATTTGGATTTCTAGGCCATCAAGTTTAAAGTGATGTAAATCGGTTCATAGTGATCTAATTTCGATTCTGAAAAGTGCCCTAGAAAGCTCTAATCAAGATCAATCAGTTGGTGGCCTAGGAACCCAGAATTTTGAATTTCTAGGCAATCAACTCTTTTGAAACTCAATAAACTCACGTGTGCACGACTGCGAGACCATCTCATCGTCGGCTCGGAAGTATCCATTAACGCATCGACACGAGCTGGCCGCTTCGCCGGACACCGAGTTTGCTGGGCACGGCTTGCACATGGATTGTCCTTTTGGTTTGTAGGTGTTCGGTGGGCAGCCTGGAAAATTTTCGAATTTCATAAAGCTTTCTAAAGCAGGTTTCAGAATTCCTATAGCTTCACTTTCAACTGACTTACAGCTCTTTTAAATTGGTGGCCTAGAAATTCAAGATTTTGATTTTCTAGGCCACCTACTGGATGAGAGCTTCCAAACGCATGTTTTGAACCTCAAATAGGCTATCTGTGGACCAACTTACAGCTTTTTCAAATTGATGGTCTGAAAACCCAAAGCTTTGATTTTCTAGGCCACTCCCTAGATCGAATTTCAGCAGGCTTTTTGGCCCCTTTTCCTCATTTTCCCATCCCTAGAAGCCTCTTGAGACTGCTAACAGTATCATCATTAGAGGGATCATTCATTTCCCACATTAAAGTGTGCATTGTTTTTCTATTTGACCCCTCTCCGCATTCATGCTCTGTCGGCACACTTCCCCATGTGCCGCTTAAAAGGGGACACCGCCCGTGCGTTCCGTTTTTTTAGTACCCCCCCCCCCTTTCTCTCGAAAAAGGAGGCTTCTTCTTTTGTTTGTGTATACGGTGGGTGCTGTGATAATCCCATTTACCCCAGTGTCAAGTGGTGGAACAACACCACCACACGGCTGGTAGCAGATGAGGATGATGAGGCAGGTGCATAGGGATATTTGAAAATTCAAAAGAAAAGGTCCTTTTCAAAAGGATCGTTAAATTTCGAGAGAGAGGAAGATCCCATCTGCAAATACACCTGGGGTCGTAAAAAATTCGAAAGGTGTCGGGAAGGCTTTTGATGCTGTTCAAGAGGAGATATGATACATTCTGTTTGAAGAGGATTAAGGGGGGTTAAACTTGTAGGGGTAAATTACCTTGGGTAACGTGTCAGTCTGTGTGTCTAGGTGTCCGGATTTTCAGGCTTAAAATTGAGTTAGATAGAAGCTTCCAGAAAAGATTTTCAAAATCCAAATGGGTTAACTGTGAGCCGACTCACAGCCCTTCTAAATTGGTGGCCTAGAAACCCAAAGTGTCGGGAATTCTAGGCCACCAGCTAATAGAGCTAGATAAGGGCTTTCAGAAGCGAAACTCGAATTTCAACTAGGCAAACTTTGAACCGACTTATAGCTCTTCGAAATTGGTGGCCTAGAAACCCAAATTTTGGGAATTCTAGGCCACCAACTGATAGAGCTAGATAAGTGCTTCCAGAAGCATGTTTCGAGATTCAAATAGGTTAACAATGAGCCGACTTACAGCTCTCCTAAGTTGGTGGCCTAGAAATCCAAATTGTGAAAATTTGAGGCCACCAAACTTGAAACCTTTGTAATTCAACTCAAAGTCAACCAAATCGAGCTCTGCAACATTCACCAGAAAGCATATACCGTAAAACCTCTAATAGAACGATCTCATTTGTCATTTTCCCTTCCACCACCACCACAGATAATGATATTGCGCAAGTCTTTTGATGTTTCCGACAGCGACAAAAAAAAGTTGGGGTCTCTTATCAGTGTCATATCAATTTGCCACAACTTTTTCTGATTACGCAATCTCGTTTGTTCCGGAAAACGGTCACTTGGGAAGGGGGTAAATGGACCAAAAAGGGGCACACAACGGGCAAAAATGGCCGAAAATATCTCAAAAATAA